AGAGATAGAACTCAGGACCTTGTGCTTTCGAGACAGGCAGTGGAACCACTGAGCTAAGTCCCTGGCCCGTTTTTTTGTTTCTGTACTGGGTATTAAACTTAGGACGTTGTGCTTGCTAGGCAGTCCAGGTGCCACTGAGCTACATCCCTGGCCTAGGACAGAATCTTTAAATTATTTTTTTAAATGATACTATCTTTTGTTGCCTAATTCACATTCTCAGTCCTTCTTTTGACCAGTGATATGGTCAGTCTCTGACAAAAGAAAATACTGTATAAGTTTATTGACCTGGGTAAAGATTAAACCTCAGAATATAATCTAATTAGAAATTTCCTCAAACTGAATTCACTGTGCTAAATCCCCGGCCAAGTGTTTATTTTTTTTGTTTTTGTTTTTTTTGTTTGTTTGTTTTGGTACCGGGGATCAAACCGGCTCCTTGTGCACCAAGTGGCGAAACCACTGAGCTAAATCCCTGGCCCAGTAGATTTTTTTTTTTTTGGTTCTGGGGATCCATCCTTGCATTTGTGCAGCAGGCGGTGAAACCACTGAGCTAAATCCCTGGCCCAAGTCTTTATTTTTTAAAAGCATATTTATTCAAGAGTCAGTTGTGCGAATTGAAATGAGTAGAAATTACTTGAAAAACTTTCCCTTTAATAAGTCACAGGATTTCTGTTTTTTTTAAAAAAAGACCTTTCTCCCCCTTTTTAAGAAGAATACTATCTCCTCATTGTCTACATGTCAGTTTTCAATAAACCTGTTGTCTAAAAAAAAAATATGTGTGTGTGTTTGTGTATGTATTGTGGAGAAGTGGGAAAATAGAGAAACATATAAAGAAAGCCTGTTAGGGCCAGGTATTTAGCCCAGTGGTTCCTCCACCTGTCTCGCAAGCGCAAGGTCCCAAGTTTGATCCCTGGTATCAAAAAACCCAGAAAGCCCTGCCTTCACAGTTTAAGTATTTCCTACAAAGGCTTTGCATGCTTTTTTAAATAAGAGTCTTACTATGTTGTTGGGCTGTTAATCTCTTGGACCTAAAGATCTTCCTGCCTCAGCCTCCCAAGTCCTAGAGCTACAGGTATGTGTCACTCTGCCTGACTTTTATATACATTTTTTAAAAGTATGATTGAGGCCTGGCATGGTGGCATATGCCTGTTCTAGGGTTACAGGAGGTGAGCCAGGAGGATCGCTGCAAGTTCAAGGCCAGCCTAAACTACACAGTGAGACCCTGTCTCAAAAAATCCAAAAATAAAAAAAAGCAGAGTTAAAATTGTTGTTGAATATTCTTTTTATATGTTTTTACTCTGAAAGGTAAGCACATTTCCTTTAATTTAGAATACTTGATACTTAGGGGATCATCTTATTGGAAAATAGGGGTTTTGGGGGGATGAAATTAGAGTGGATCGTGGTTAGTTTACTAGTTCATGCAGAGCAGAGTTCTGTTATGTGGTATCCATTGAAAGTTGGTGAAGTTAATGGCATCATCCAAAGCATCTGCTCCTGAGTAAATTTTAGGTAAATTGAGCTTTCGTGTTCTCTTAGTCTTGAGATTCTTTCCTTTGTCTTGTTTTTGTATTGTATTACTATCTGAGAAAGGAATGAAATTACATAAAAGCAGAGTTTTCATTAAGATAATACTTATTTTCTTTTTTTAGCTTAAAGCAATAAATGTAGATCTTCAAAGTGATGCAGCTCTGCAGGTGGACATTTCTGATGCTCTGAGTGAGAGGGACAAAGTAAAATTCACTGTCCATACAAAGGTAAATGGGCCATTGATTAATGTTGCGCTGTTATTTATATATAATATGTGGACTAGAATTCAGGTTCTGAATATAACTGGAAAGAAATATTTTAGTTTATAATTCCAGGCATTTCAGCAAAAAATGTTTTAGGAAAATGTACTTTTTAAAGATAAACGTTAAAGGGCCCAGGGTTTAGCTCAGTGGTTCTGCTGCCTACCTCGCAAGTGCAGGGACCCGAGTTTGATCCCCGGTACCAAAAAAAAAAAAAAATTTTAATGATTAATCATAGAACCTAAGCATAATGCAAATTTAATTTTCTCTAGGTTTTTAATCTTTTATTTTTTTAATATCTTTTTTGGGGGGGTACTGGGGATTGAACTTGGGTCCTTGCGTTTGTGAGGCAGGCAGTGGAACCACTGAGCTAAATCCCCGGCCCCTTTTTAATATCTTTTAATATAATTGTGATTTTCAGTTTTGTGTTCCTTCAGTTAGATTACTGTCTTACAAATTATTATTCTTGGGCCAGGTATTTAGCTCAGTGGTGCTGTGCCTGCCTCGAAAGCACAAGGTCCTGAGTTTGATCCCCAGTACTGCAAAAACAAAAACAAATTATTATTCTTAGATTTTAGTTCTGGGGATATTTTCAAATTGTAGAACTGTTTTTTCTGTGTTTGAATAGTTGAGTTTGATATATATTGACAGGATAACTTTTTTTTTTTGGTACTGGGGATCAAACTTGGGTCCTTGAGCTTGGGAGGGAGGCGGCAGAAGCACTGATCTAAATCTCCAGCCTGACAGGATAACTTTTAAGTAATGATAGCAGTATAATAAGAGCCTGTCAGCTTATTTCCCCAAAAATCTGAAGATAAGTTTGTGTAGGTAAAACTGGGATTTTCATACTGCAGTTAGTTTTGGTTTTGTTGCAGTATGGGATCAAACTCAGGACCTTGTGATTGCAAGGCAGGTGCGGCACCACTGAGCTAAATCCCTGGCCTGTTCTTTTTGTTTTTTGATAGGGTTTATTATTGGGTTTTTTTGAGTCAGTCTTGCTATGTAGTTCAGGCTGAGTTTGAGCTCATGATGTAGCCCAGAGTGGCCTTGAATTTGGGGTGAGCCTCCTGAGAGCTGGGATTACAGATATGTACCACCATGTCCAGCTTTTTGTAGGATCTTTTGATATGTTTTGTTTGTTTTTTGTGTTGCTGGGGGTTGAATTAGGGCATGCTCGGAAAGCAGTCTAGGGAAGTGCTGTACCGCCACGTTACATGCCCAGCCCTTACTAGAGTTTAAAGGCACTGACAGTCTTTCAAGTAAGACTGATTTTCTTTTTAAACTAAGATGTAAAATGTTTATTAAAACTAAGATTAAAATGCTTGTTAGTGTAATTTTGACTTTTATTCATGAATCTCTTTGCAGAGTTCGTTGCCCAATTTTAAACAAAATGAGTTTTCTGTTGTTCGACAACATGAGGAATTTATCTGGCTTCATGATTCCTTCGTTGAAAATGAAGACTATGCAGGTTATATCGTAAGTACTGAGATTTCATTTTAATTCTATTTTTTTTAGTGACATTTTGGATATTTTTGTTCTGTTTTGTTTTGGGTTTTTGTTGTGAGACAAAGTCTCACTAGTTATGTAGTTCAGGGTGGTCTTGAACTCACTATGTAGCCCAGGCTGGCTTCGGGAACGTGCAGTGATCCTCCGCCTCAGCCTCCTGTATGCTGGTATTACAAGCGTGCCTTACCATGCCTGGTACATTCTTATGTGTTGCAGTCTTGCTTAGCTTTTTTTTGGTACCGGGGATTGAACTCAGGACCTTGTGCTTGCAAGGCAGGCATGGTGCCACTGAGCTAAATCCCCAGCACTTGCTTAGCTTTTTTTTTGGTACTGGTGATCGAATGCTTAGCATTTTTGCGGGTTTTTTTGGTACCAGAGATTGAACTCGGGTCTTTGCGCTTGCGCAGCAGGCGGCAAAACCACTGAGCTAAATCCCTAGCCCTCTGCTTAGCATTTTTAATAACTGATGTGATTTTATAAGATTGCCAGTTACAAATTATTGGGCTGCCACCTCTTTTCCTGAGTGTGGAGCTGTGAGAATATGTTAAGCTTCCTCATTTCAGCTTAAATTCTTGGTGTTAGAATTGAACTGGCTTGTCCTAGGGATTAACTGAGGGGAGTTGCAAACCATATTGATTTGAATCCTTGGATAAATAACAGGAGTTGGAAGACTCCTGAAGATGGAATAATCAAGACAGGTGGTTAGGTTATTCTGCCTCAGCTGTTGATCACATTCAGATTTGTGAAATTTAACTTCATTTGATTTTCCCTAAAGTTGTCGTGGCCAAATTCCCTCTCCATCCTTGTGGGCACCACTCCTTTTCAGTTATTTGTCTCCTTTCTACAGTTCAGTTTGGTGACTAACCAGTAGCGCATTTCTTTTCTTATTCTGTTTCCACCCTGTCCCCTACCTTCTTGTGTGACTGCACTTTTTTCACTACTTTCTCCTTCCATGGGTGAAGCACTTCTCAGAGCTAAGACCGTCTGTGTATCTGGTGCTCACCATCATGCCTAGCATGTAGTAGATGCTCAGTGAATGTGTGCTGAACTCTACTTAATGCTTTCTGACCCTATTACTCTCTTGGTTGGAACCCTTTTCTTGTAGAATTTCTAAAAATTTTTAATTTAATGTTTTTTGTGTGTGTGTGTGCTGGGGATTTTCTACATGCTAGGCAAGCACTGTAACACTGAGGTTCATACTTAGCCTTTCTTGTACTAATTTTTACTTTAACTTTTCTTCCTTGTATCTCCTTTGGTCTCTTTAACTTTCCATCATTTTGTCCTTAATAATTCTTACTTGTAGATCCTTCTTCCCAAGATAATTTTTTTCTTACATTGTTTCCTTGAATAATGTATTTCTTCTGGATCTTTTCTTTTTATGATAAGTGCTTATTCCCTGTTTGGATAAGTAGAATGAAGTTAGTCATCCATCTGTGTCTTACTTGTTTTGTTTTTTATTTTTATTTTTATTTATTTATTTTTTGTACCAGGGTTCAAAGTCGGGACCTTGTGCTTGTGAGGCAGGTGGTGGAACCACTGAGCTAAATCCTGGGCCCTTGTTTTTTATTTTTTGAGACAAGGAATATCTTGCTATGTAGTTCAGACTGGCCTTGGACTCACCATGTAGCTGGCCTCAAACTTGCAGCAATCCTCCTGGCTCAGCCTTCCAAGTGCTGTGATTACAGGTGTGCTGCCTGGTTCTAGTCTTTATTAATTTTTTAAAAACACAGGCATAAAGCCACAATAAATTCATTAATTTCAAAAAATACAGTTGTATTTAATCACACCCTTTACATACTCTTGAAAAATAGCATACATATTTGCTATACACATTCATTCAATCTATCATCAGAACTTGGTGCACATAAGAATTTGAAGACTCTAGGTTGCCATGTAGGAGCCTAAAGATTGAAGTTTGAGAACTATTCTAATATCAGAAAATAATGTTAGGCTCTGTTTCTTCTTTGGTGTAAAGGACCTCAATGATGTTAGTTTCTAGAACTAGTGAATTTCTCTAATCTGAATTTGGGTGTTTCTGGTGCTCATCTCGTTCAGAATACCTTTAGCTTTCTCAATACAGTAGTTTAGTAGTGGTACAGTGCTGACAGAAATGAAATGTTCCCTTATATTTAGTGATTTGGTTTTGTTATAGATTCCACCAGCACCACCAAGGCCTGATTTTGATGCTTCGAGAGAAAAGCTACAGAAGCTTGGAGAAGGGGAAGGGTCAATGACAAAGGAAGAATTCACAAAGATGAAACAGGAACTGGAAGCGTATGTGATGTTTTCTTTTTGTTGCTTTTGTTAACTGTGCTTGTTTGAATGCCTTTTTGTGTGCTCTCTGGTATCTCGTTCTTTCAGTCATTTCACCACAGTGACTCTTTTGGAAAGATACAGGTTTAAGTTACACAACTGGCATTAGTGATCATGATCAGAGCCTACAGGAAAATTATAGAATAATTGTGTCCATTGTAAAATTCTTCAGTGTTTTAAAGAGACTCTGAAAATTGAAAAAAAATACCTAAGAGTTTATAAAAGAGCAGTAAAAAGGGAACGTGACTTTTAAAACAGAATGAATATTTTAAAAAAATAAGTGTGTGTGTGTGTGTGTGTGTGTGTAATTTCCCCTTTTCTCTACCTGTGGCTTCTGGTCAAAAGGGAAAGAATTAGGAGCAGAGTAACTAGAGAATTGCTAAGAATTGCTTATCATTAAGTATTAGTTTCATATATAATAGAAGTATATTAAGTCCTTGGAAAATTGTGTAATTTATTTCATTTTTTAGCCTATTTACTGAAAATACATAATCTTTCCCTTTTTTATTAAATATTTGAATTTTGGATTTTCTATATGTTATTTCTCTTTATTTTGAGACTTGTACAAGGAAACAATTTTTCTTTCATTCTTGTCACCTGCATCTCTTTTTCTGGTCATTTCTCCCCTTCATAGATTTCCTCTTTTCCTCTTTCACTTAGTTTTAGTCTCCAACCATATATTGGAGCTGGGGCTGTAACTTGGTGGTACAGTGCTTGTCTACTGTGCATGAGGCCCTAGATTCAATCCCTAGTACCGCACAAAAATTTAAAAAGCATATAAGCACACTGCTACTATACTCTTTAGAATGCTAAATAAATTGTTTTGAAAAGATAAATCAGTAACATAATGACTGATATTTTAAGAATTCTGTCAGTGCTGGGTGCAAGCCATAGTCTGATAGCAGATAGATATATACTTAAAGTTTTTAATAACAACTGGAACTTAGCAGAGCACATTAATATTGAAGGATCTGTGATTTTCCAGTGGCCCTGATCATGATTCTTTTGTGGTCTGGTTAGGGGTTGGATAACAGAGAGCCTTGGGTTTATTCTGCTACCTCCATCCTCTGCATCCTTCTTTTTTGTCTTCACTGAATGACTACCCTCCCAAAGATCAAACTCCTCCCAACATTGAGCCTGCTGGTTTGCTGGTATGTAAAACTTATCCTTCTTGCACATAGTTGCAGCAAGAATATTGGACCTTTTTTCCTTGAGTGTTTTTTCCCTATCAAACGGACATATATCACTGTCATGGAATTCATTGATGATATTAAAATACTTTAAAACACTTTTCTTCAGTGTAATGGCAAAACCCAGTCTCTCTATGGTGAGTTTCTTTCTTGTGTGTTTGAGTCATTAAATGAGAATAATTATTAACGTTGAAAACATGGTTAGTGAATTTTGGGTTTTGATTATTTTTTGTACTAAGTTATTTAAAAGAAGCAATTATATAGAAATTGAATCATTAAGGTTGTATCAGGTAATTTCTCTGGAGCTAAAAGCAGATACCTCACCTACGACCTTTAACATCAACTTGGATAGTAAGAAGTTTATAAAACTTATACTAACATTTAGGTATAATATATATTATTAATTAGCATGAAATCTTTTTCGGTGCTGGATTTTATATGTTTAATAAATAGTTTAGCTAAAACCTTTGTTTAAACCTAAAGATTATTTGCTGAAAAAATTTTTTGGAGATGACATTGTAGTTGATACAATTTTTTACCTTTAATTTTGTGTGTTGTTTCTAGTGAGTATTTGGCAATATTCAAGAAGACAGTGGCGATGCATGAAGTGTTCCTGTGTCGTGTGGCAGCTCATCCTATTTTGAGGAAAGATTTAAATTTCCATGTCTTCTTAGAATATAATCAAGATGTGAGTATCAGATTGATTAAAATAATAATTGAAGTTTCTTTTTAGAGTCATTGGAAAAGGCAGGGAGTAGTTAGAAAAACGTAAGTCCTCTTTAAGAATACTTTTATTTTTCGCGGTATTTTAAAGTGGCCTATTGTCAGTATTTCAGTAGGACTAGAGTAATTAAAGGAATGATGGGAAATCATATTACAGTTTAAGCATCCCTAATCAAAAATCTGAAATCTGAAATCTTTGGCCACCCAACATACCCTCAGAAAGTTTCAGATTTTAGAGCTATTCAGATTTCAGTGATTTGGATTAGTGATGCTTGGTCATTAAAGCCTATGCAAATAACCCAAAATCCCCAGAATTCCAAAATCTGAAATTCTTACAGTCCTAAGCATTTCAGATAAGGGATACTAAGTCTACGTGGGACATTGGTTTTTCATCCTGAAGAGTAAACTTAAGAAAGAGAGTTATCGGGCCGGGGATTTAGCTCAGTGGTTCAGCCACCTGCCTTGCAAACACAAGGTCCCAAGTTTGATCCCTGGTACCAAAAAAAAAAAGAAAAAGAAATAGGGTTATCAAATTTGTTAAGTCTCCTTAAGTTTGATTTTGGCATGTTCTGAATCCTTACGGAGAATTGCAGGGAGGTGCATGAGCTAAAGAATTCCATTCCTGGGCCGGGGATTTAGCTCAGTGGCACTGTTCCTACCTTGCAAGCGTAAGGTCCTGAGTTTGATCCCTGGTACCAAAAAAAAAAGAATTCTATTCCCTTGTGTAAATGACTGACTTTGGATCTGTTTAACAGCCATTGGTCAGTGCTTATTGCTCCAATTTTCTCCACTTTTCTTCTTTTTATTTATTTATTTTTGGTACCGAGGATTAAACTCTGGTCCTTGTGCTTTTGAGGCAGGCGATGGAACCACTGAGCTAAATCCCCAGCCCTCCACTTTTCTTCTTTCCTGCCTAAAAGCTGCTTCAGCAAGAGAATGAGGTGATTGAACTTTTAGGATTTCTTCATTAAGGGTTGGGGAGTAGCTCAGTGGCACTGTGCCTGCCTGGCAAGCACAAGACCCTGAGTTCAATCCCCAGTAAGGGGAGGGGTCCTTCATTCACAGTGTTGTGTTGACAAAGCTAGGTGTGGTGGTACACGCTTTTGATCCTAGCACTTGGGAGGCTGCCTGCACTACAAAGGGAGACCAAAGGGAGACCGTATCTCAAAAAACAAAACAAAACATGTTGACAAAAATCTTTTTAGTGGATAGGTGTTACAGATTTTAGAACTTGTTTTTGGATAACAAGATTAAATAATTTGGGGCCAGGGATTTAGCTCAGTGGTGCCGCTGCCTGCCTCACAAGGGCCTGAGTTCGATCTCCAGTATCAAAAAAAAGATTAAATAATTTTATTGGAAAACGAATTTAGTATACAGTAGTGCTATTTGCTTACAAGTTAACATAAAGATGAAAGAATTTTGTGCATAAGTTTCCTTTTCTTGTTTGGTCTTAGAAGATATGATAGTAAAATATCCTAAGTAACAAGGACATAAAGATTGATAAAAAATGTATGAAGTAACTCAAGATCAAGAAATATTTAGCACTTTAAGCATAGGTACTTTCATAGTATGAATATGGTGTGTGATACTGGCATGTGGTCATTTAAGAACTATAAAGATTACTTTCTATTGTGAATTATATGAAGCTGAAAAATGATTTTAATAGAGTTGTAAAGAATACAGTCCATAGAACACATTATAGGATGCTGTCATTGCTTTTTTTTTTTTTTTTTGATAGGATCTTACCATGTAGTTAAGGCAGGTCTTGAACTCAATATGTAGCCCAGGCTGGCTTCAAACTCACAGTGATCCTCCTGCCTCAGGCTCTAAAGTGCTGGGACTACAGGCATGGGCCACCATGTCTGGCTGCTTTTTTATCTTTATAAGTTTGTTTTTTGCTGGGCCTTATTTATGGCTGGGCTAAAACCCTGTTAACAATTTGGAGTATGTGAAGTCTGAAGTGTGGTAGTTTTCAGTGCAAGGCTGCTTGATGTATAGTAGCTTCACTCTCCAGACACTATCCTATTGCCACAGCCCGTAGCAGTACTTAAAAGAAAAAAAAAAAATACACACACACACACACACACACACACATTTTTTTTATTCTTTGAGGCAGAGTCTTGCTATGTAGTTCAGGCTGGCCTTGAACTTGCAGCAATCTTCCTGCCTTAGCCTCCTGATTACCTCAGCCTCCCGAGTGCTGGGACAGGCATGCACCACCACGATGACCAGCTATAAATTTTTATATATATATATAGAAAGAGAGAGTCTGTTTTCTTCCAATCTCTGTGAGGGTAGGGAAAAGTTAAGTTTTCACCACTGTTTTAGAGTAATGTCTAGCAATTGATGGAAAATAAATTTTTTTTTTTTTTTGGTACCAGGGATCGAACTCGGGACCTTGCGCTTGCAAGCAGGCGATGGCACCACTGAGCTAAATCCCCAGCAAAATATATATTTTTTGTGTCAATAAGTGAAAGATTACTGAATGTTGGGTACTGGGAATTGAACTCAGGACCTTGCAGTTGCCAGGCAGGTGTGGCACTGCTAAAATACATCCCTGGCGAAGATTACTAAATATTTAGACCAGCATTATAAATAGCTTTCAGAAAGCTTAGGATTTCATAGATTTTTCTCACCAATGTAGATTTCTTTCTTTTTATTCCTTACAAACATATACTTCATATTTTTGTTTGATTTTTGGTTTTCTTGGTACCGGTGATCGAACTCGGGGTCCTTGCGCTTGTGCAGCAGGCAGCGAAACCACTGAGCTAAATCCCTGGCCACAAACATATATTTCAGAGAGCCAGGTGTGGTGATGCATGCTTGCATTCCCAACTACTCAAGAGACTGAGACAGGAATATTATGAATTTGAGACCAACCTGGGCAACTTAGTGAGACCCAGTCTCAAAATAAAATTTTACAAAAGCACTGGGGGTGTAGCTCACTGCTCCCCGAGTTCAGTCCCCAGTACTGCGGGAAAAATCATAACATTAATAGGCTCAAAATTAAATTTTTTCCTCAATTTTATTTCTAATGCTGATTCCCTCCCCCAACTTAATTCACCACTGACCCAACTTTTTTTTTTACCCTGGTTTCATGTTTATTTTTAAAAGGTTGTTATTTTTTTCCTCTTTATTTCTGAAGAGAGGGGCTGGGGATTTAGCTCACTGGTTCCGCCGTCTGCCTGGAAAGCACAAGTTCAATCCCCGGTACAAACGAAAAAAAATCATTTCTGAAGACATATTTGATCTTATGGAAATATTTTCAAATTCAGAGAATCAAAAAAATAAATTAATAAAATTAACCAGCGTAAGCAATGTTAATATTTTGGTGTATGTCCTTGTGTGTATTATTTTCTACATAAATGTATGTACATATATTGTCATGTTTTTTTGGTACCAGGGATCGAACTCAAAATTTTGTACTTTCCAGGCAGGCACTGCCCCACTAAGCTACATCCCAGCTATTATCATGTTTTTATCGAAGTAAAGTTTTACCATTCTTTCCAAATGTAGCCTACTTTTGTCATTTCCCAATGAAACATCACATAATTTTCTTTTTCTTTTCATTTTTTTCTCTATCTTTTTCTTTCTTTGCAGAACTTGAAATTGAGCCCTAGACTTCACATTGAGCTATATCCCCAGCCCTTTTTAAAAAATTGAGACAGGGTCTCACAGAGTTGCCCAGGCTGAGTTTTGAGAAAGTAAACTTATTGACATGATCATGTTTCCCCCCCTTTTTTTTTGTTAACGTGGCTTATTACATTATGCCTTTTCATTTTGACTGAGATAACTGTAAGTTCCCTGTACTTCCTGGTCTTTAGAATATCTTGTGATTGATTGAATGCTTGACTTTACCTACTTCCCAGTCTCCTTCATGGACTTTTTCCTCCATATACCCATTAATTTACATTTTCTTTTCCCGAGGTTCTCATGGAGTTCTGTAGAGGATTGAAGTTCTTCTAGACTCAGATTCTATGCATTTTTTTTTATAAGTGTTCTCATACTCCTGTGGCTTCAGATACACTAATATGCTGTCATCATGCTACTCTAGTAACTAGGTCCCAGCCCTGTATATCAAGCAGCCTACTAAAAAGCTCCACTGAATTGTCTCCTTAGCATTGTTTTCTTACCTCACATGAACTCTTTTTTTTTTTTTTTTTTCTGGGGATTGAACTCAGGACCTTGCGCTTGCAAGGCGGGGGCCGGAACCACTGAGCTAAATCCCCAGACCACACATGAACTCTTTAAGCTTGTAGAGACCAGTTCCCTCAGGTCTCGAGTCTGAAGGCTCTGGCCTGATGAACTGACAATCTCCCAGAGTCACCTTTTTTTTTTTTTTTTTTTTGGTACCGGGGATCAAACTCGAGTCCTTGCGCTTGCAAGGCAGGGTGCAGAACCACTGAGCTAAATCCCCGGCCCCAGAGTCACCTCTTAATACCATCCCCTGGGGGATTAGGTTTCAACATATGAATTTGGGAAAGGCACATTCAGTCAGAACACAGCAGGTGGTGATGGAGATTTGTGAGTCATTTACATAAATGTAGTTGTTCTGGAACAATCCAGGTTTAGTTTGTGAGGGTTTGCCCCAAAGTTGTCATGAGACTGAAGGAGGGAAGGCAGACAGATCTAGGATTGCAAAGAATGCAGTTTATTGCGGGGGCTGGGGGGGCGGGGTAGCTTTCTGACTAAAAGTGTGTCCTGCATGGCAGCAAGACTAGTTGAATTCCTACAAGTTGGGTCAGAAGAAGGGGTTTATGTATGGATTAAGACAAAGTGACTTCATTTTAGCTGGAGTGTACCTGGTTTATCTTTGGTCTGGTATTGGGGATTGAACTCAGGGCTTTGGGCAGGCTGTACCAATGAGTCCCCAGCCCTACCTGGCTTATCTTAAGCTATTATCAAAGACTCAGGCACATTCCTAGAGTTAGGGTCCCATTGCAGAAGCTCCATATACCACTCTAATATTTTTGTCTATTTATTGTTTGCTAAGAAACTATGCAGGCAAAACCACCTGGGATTACTCAGGGCAGTTAGGATGGTGAGGACTCAAGATGAGTGAGGTCACATAGACAGTAAAGCCCTGGCGATACAGAAACAAGTTAGATGGGATGTTGCTTTATTGAGCACTCTGAGGCAGCAAGCTCCAGGAATCAAAGATTAGCTCCTTCTTGGGCTGGGGATTTAAAAGCGCAAGGTACCAAGTTTGATCGCCGGTACCAAAAAAGAGAAAGAAAGAAAAAAAGATTAGCTCCTTCTCAGTTTTCCCCTTGGGTAACTAGTCATGCTATTCAAATCATCTTTTGTGTGCCCTGTACTATAAGCTGCTGACCCTCAACACAGAACAAGAGGTGATATTTGGGTGAGTTCAGAATGAGGACCATGTGCATGACTAAAAACTGGGATCCTTTTGAGGTTCCCATTTAAATGTCTTAAGGATAAAGGAGGCATTACTTTCCATTTTCTTCTTTCCTTTCCTTTTCCTTCCTTCCTTTCCATTCTCTCTCTCTCTCTTTCTTTCTTATTTTGTATATATAGGTTAGGCTGGCCTTGAGCTCATGGTGATCCTCTTGCCTCAGCCTCCTGAGTGCTGGGAGTACAGGCCAGCACCACTGTGCCTGGCTCCATTTGTAACTTTAGAAATTGCTAATTTTAAATTACCTTTCTTTCAGTTGAGTGTTCGAGGAAAAAATAAAAAAGAGAAACTTGAAGATTTCTTTAAAAACATGGTCAAATCAGCAGATGGAGTCATTGTTTCAGGAGTAAAGGTAAGATTTTTGTTTAATTAGCACTCTTACTGGTTGAGAATTTACTTTAGGAGGGAAATGTATTAAGACTTCAGATGTATAGAACCTAGAGTAAAAGAAAAGTTTGAATAGTAGAATCTGTAGTTTGGTGAAATTGCCCTTGCCGTGGTTCTTCTCTCTGCTGAGTTCCCTTCTCCACAGGATGAGAAGTCTGCAGTCCAAGGGGATTTGGCCTCCTGGAGCCTATACCCCTTTCTTCTAAATCAGTCCATGTTCCAAATATCTAAACAGCCCTCTTCCCCGTATTTCCCTGCCCCAGTCCCAAGCCTTCTAGGTCCTGCATGGGTATCCTCCCCAGCTGACCCCGTGTGCCTTCCTTAGGTGGTCAGGGTGGCATGGGGCACCTGGGAAAAGATGAATGTGTGGGGTGGACTGTCTACCCACAGGGCACCCGGTCTGCTGGGTGCAGGACAGACAGCTGCAGGGTGGGGCAAGAAGAAAGCCTGCCTGTTTGTACACTTAGCCTTGCAAATGTCAGGGGAATTTAGGTTCAGATTTGGAATAAAATCTTGTTGATTTTTTTGGTATCAGGGATTGAACTCACACTTGCAAGGCAGGTGACGGAACCACTGAGCTAAATCCCTGGCCTGATAAAATCTTAATTGAATGGGCTGGGGATTTAGGTCAGTGGCATCATGCCTGCCTCGAAAGCGCAAGGTCCTGAGTTCAATCCCTGGTACCCCCCCCCCCCGCCCCCGCCAAAAATCTTAATTGAGGTCGTAGTTGTTGTTGTTTTTGTTTTTGGTACTGGGGATCGAACTCAGGACCTTGCGCTTGTGTAGTAGGTGCTGGAACCACTGAACTAAATCCCTGGCCCTGTTGTTGTTTTGAGACAGGGCCTTGCTATGCAGTTCGGGCTGGCCTTGAACTCACTATGTAGTCCAGACTGACCTTGAACTTGTAGCGATCCTCCTACCTCAGCCTCCCAAGTGCTGGGATTATAAATGCATGCCCCACCATCCCCAACTTAACCGAGGTTTTGATGTTGTCTCCTGGTAGCTATATGATGTTGGGAAGAGTTACTTTCTTTCTCTGAATCAGTTTCTCCATTTTCAAAATGAGATTATAGCCAGGTGTGGTGGTATACGCATGTAATTGTAGGATTGCTACAAGTTTGAGGCCAGCCTGAACTACTATACATAACAAGACCCTGTCTCGAAAAAAAGGGAGATAATATATATAAAAATACTTATAAAATTAATTATTTACTAAATAACATCTAAACTTATTGTTTAAAAAATGGTATAGGAGGGCCGGGGATTTAGATCAGTGGTTCTGGCACCTGCCTCACAAGCGCAAGGTCCCAGGTTTGATTCCCGGTACCAAAAAAAAATGGTACAGGAATTGATTTATATGAAGACTTAGCAGCAAAATTTAAGAGAAATATTTCTATTACATTATCAAGCGGATACTGAGTGGTTAAATAATGGTTCTTTGTCATCATTGTTTTTAAAGTTATATATCTACAATAAAATGGATATGCAGAACGTACTTAATGGACTTAGGCTGATTATTTTAAAAGGAGTAACTTACTGAACATGTATAATATATTGACTGGTAGTCCATGTTTTCTTATTTAATCTTAACTATAACCCTGCATGTTGATTTACCCCCATTTTTACAGTTAAGAAAGCTGATACATGAAGATTTCAAATGAGATTTTGTCAGCACTGACTCTTGCTCCTTTGAATTACATTGATGTGGATCTCATGTTACATTATGTCAACTGACGCTTTTCCGATGAATAATTGCTAATGTAGAAGCTGAGAAAGTACTGTTGTAATTTTGATTTGTAATGTATATCTAGCTTTATAATAGAAAAGATAGAAGACAGTGGTTAATTCTCTCACTGCTCCCATGTAGCACATTTGGCCAGGTTGCCCACAGCAGTGGGAAAGGGCCCTAATAAGGCTAGGCAGCCTCTGGGTGACCCACAAAATGCATGCGAGACCAAGCAAAGTACTTGCTGTGGGATACTAGGATTTTTTTTCTTTCTCTCAAAAGCAGTTGCTTAGTCCCAGTGGCAGTAATGTGTTTGTAGAAGTGAAGCATAAGCAGGAGCATGTTTCAGAGTACCACATGTGAACATGAACTGTATATATAAAGGATCATTAAACCTTTAGCTACAAAACCATTTCTTACTTGATTGATAGAAATGCAGGTCTGTGAAAGTCTTAATGTGCTGAAGAAATGGTGTAACATTTGGCTTTTGCGGTTAGCTGTGCTGTTTTCTTGATAATTTTTTTTTTATATCTATAATGGTGGCATAAAGTGATTTACATTTTGAGCTGAAGTAAATGAGTAAAAAAAATCTCATGTTTTCTTTCTTGATCCTGTAGGATGTAGATGATTTCTTTGAGCATGAACGAACATTCCTTTTAGAATATCATAACCGAGTTAAGGATGCATCTGCTAAATCTGACAGGATGACAAGATCCCACAAAAGTAAGACTTCTATGGCTGAAGATTACATTTTTAATGGAATTATAATTATAAAGTTAACTTGTTACTTAGAGTTTGTAAAAGTCTTGATACAGCACAGTGGTTCTTAAACTGTTTTATGAAACCAAGATCCCAACCTCCTTTTAAAGTAAACTTTTGAGGCTGGGGATTTAGCTCAGTGGTTTTGCCGCCTGCTTCACAAGCGCAAGGACCCAAGTTCGATCCCCAGTACCAAAAAAATCCCCAAAAAACAAAAACAAAACAAAAAAAACCCAAACAAACAAAAAAGTAAACCTTTGAGGTCAAAAGCCCTGTTCTTACAGGGCTGAGGATGTAGCTCAGTGGCACAGCACCTGCCTGTTAAGTGAAAGGTCCTGAGTTCAATCCCCAGTACCAAAAAACAACAACCCAAACCTGTTCTTATAATATTTTTTGCCTTTTTCACTATGTTATCATTTACACTGATGATGCAAAGGAAAAAGTAGATAAAACTGCTGTTGCTTTTTTTTTTTTTTTTTTTTGGTACTGGGCATCGAACTTGGGACCTTGTGCTTGCTTGCAAGGCAGGTGCTGGAATCACTGAGTTAAATCCCTAGTCCTGCTGTTGCTTTTGTACATGCAAATCAAGACAATAATACCAAGCTGTACTAATAGTCATTTTTTTTTCCTGTCATGACTTGCAGTTTTAAAAAAATGTAACTTTCTCCTGGCACCCTGGGAAGGCAAGCCAGTGTGATCACAAAGTTTGAGCCTTGCGCTGGCTACTTGGGGACTTAGCAAGGCACTATCTCTAAAACATAAAAAGGGGTTGGGAATATAGCTCAGTGCAGAGGCGTTGGGTTCAGTCCCTAGTATTGCAAAAAAAAAAAAGGGGGGGATAAAGATGTACTCCAGTTTTTACTTCTTGAAGGACAATCTTTTTTTTTTTTGGTACTGTGGATCAAACTCGGGTCCTTGCACTTGGGAGGTAGGCACCAGAACCACTGAGCTAAATCCCCAGCCCTGTCTATTAACTTTTTAGGAAACTGCCAGACTTTTTCCATAGTGATCATACCATTTTGCATTTTCACCAGTATTGCCATGAGAGTTCCATTTGTGCCACACCCTTCCCAACAAAGATAGTATCTTACTTACTATATTGTTATTAATGAGATTTTTTAACTGGTACATAAAAAGAATAATTGTATATATTAATACATCATATGATGTTTATACATCTATAATTGTGTAATATTTAAATTGGGTTAAACATACCTGTCATTGTAAACATTTGTCATCTCTTCATGGTGAAAACATCAAAATCTTTTCTTCTAGGGGCAACCCACTTTCCAGTCCCCCTTCTGTCTTTCTTAGGCAGAAGCTTTCTTCCAATAAATTTTTCCTACTCTTAAAAAAAAAAAATCTTCTAGATTTTTTTTTTTCTTTTTCTTTTTTTCTTTTTTCTGGTACTGGAGATCAAACCCAGGACCTTGCACTTACAAGGCAGGTATGGTGCCACTGAGCTAAATCCCTGGCCCTTCTTCTAGATTTTGAAATGAGCAGTACATTATTGTTGCCTTTACCGGAGCTTCTTGCCCCTGTCTGTCACTTAGTACCCATTTATCACCTTATACCATCATTCCCTTCCCTGTGCTCTCCCAAGCCCCTGGTAACAGTCTCTACTCTGAACTTCTGTGAGATTCCATAGGCATGAGATCATATGGCACTTCTCGTTTTGTGCCTAATTTCAGTTAACAATGATTTCCCTTTTATCATTGGTGTTTCAAAAGACAGGGTTTTGTTCTTTTTATGGCTGAATAGTATTCCACTGTGTCTGTGTACAGTGTTTTCTTTATTCATTAGTTGATGAATACTTAGGTCATTTGCAGTTCTTGGCTGTTGCTGATAGTGCGTCATAAAACATAGTAGGGAAGGTATGTCTTCAACATACTGACTTTATTTCTTTCAGTCATGTATGCACAGTAGGATTCCTGGCTCAGGATTTTTGTTTTGTTTTTGTTTTTTGAGACAGGTCTGGCTATGTATTTCAAGCTGGCCTTGAACTCACTGTGTAGCCCAGGCTGGCCTTGAACTTGTGGTGATCCTCCTGCCTCAACCCCCCAGTCCTGGGATTACAGGCGTGAGCCACCATGCCTGGTTGTTATTTATTTATTTATTTATTTTTGAGACAGGGTCTCACTGTGTATTTCAGGCCGGCCTTGGACTCACTATGCAGCCCAGGCTGGCCTCGAACTCGAAGCAATCCTCCTGCCTCAGCCTCCCAAGTGCTGGGATCACAGACATGCACCACTATGCCTGGCTCTTAATTGTGTTTTTCTAATGACTGATGATATTGAATTGCTTTTCTTTTCTTCTCTTTTTTTTTTGTACCGGGGATCAAATTCAGGACCTTGTGCTTGGGAGGCAGGCGTGGCACCACTGAGCTAAATCCCCAGCCCCCTTGAACATCTTCTCTTGCATAAATTCTCAAATTTAATTTTTCTTTTCTTTTTTCTTTTCTTTTCTTTTTTATGGTACCGGGGATCAAACTCGCCTTGCACTTGCAAGGCAGGTGCCAGAACCACTGAGCTAAATCCCCAGCCCCTTAATTCTTTCTTATAAATCAAAGTTTTTGGGCCGGGGATTTAGCTCAGTGGTTTCTGCTGCCTGCTGCACAAGGGCAAGGACCAGAGTTGGATCCCCGGTACCAAAAAAAATCAAAGATTTTTTGGCCCCATTCTAATCTTTTTATTTGCATACAGATTTTAGTGTATTTGTCACTTTCTGCAAAACTGCTTGCTGAGGTTTTGATTAAGGATTAGATTTTGATTAGGATTAGCATCTGTAGATTAATTTGGAGAAAATCGATATCAACAATATTGAGTCCTCTGATACATTCATGTGGTACATTCTTAGTTAGGTCTTTGCTAATTTCAGCACTGTTGGTGTACAGATCTTATACATCTTTAGTTAGACTGATCCCTAATTTTTTAGTGCTATATATTACTTATGAGATGGTTTTTCAGCTTTCAGATATTCTCTGCATATATATATATACATATATATACATACATATATGTATATACATATATATACACACGCACACACAAAGTATTCTTAAAAATGTTTATAGTTCCAGTAAGAGTTTTGTAGCCATATAGCTGATCATGCTGCATCTGCTAATAAAGAGTGACACTTCCTCCTTTCCAGCGTGAATGCTATTTCTTCTCTTCTTGCCCCACTGGGTCCTCTGGTGTAATGCTGCCTGGAGGTGTGAGAACAGGCGCCTTTGCCTCCTTCCTTCTCTTACCGAGTATTCAGTCTTGAATAGTGATGTTAGGTGTAGGTTTTTCCTCTGATGCCTTTAGCAGGTAGAGACAGTTCCCTTACATTTCTAGTCTCTGCTAGTGCACTCCTGTAATCTCAGAGCACTCCCTAAGGCTGAGGCAGGAAGATTGGGAGTTTGAGCCCAGCCTGGGCAACTTAGTGAGACATTGTCTCAGAATAAAGTGAAAAAGGCCACCACCATTCCCAGTGGTCACTGTACCATCCCAGTGTCCTTCCCTCCCAGGCCCTTTTTCCTCTCTGCTGGGTCTTCCTTTCCTCTCCCCAGCCACACTAGGATAGAGTAGACTTTTTCATGCTTTCTGTTACTTGTGTTCTCTTTATTTGAAATGCTCTCCTTTTGCCTGGTAAAGATTTCCTCCTCCCACAAGATCTAGCTCTTTCTATAGTTTCTTTAAATCCTTCCCCAGCCTAATCCAGTGGAATCATCTGTTTCCAATTCCTAAAGCAGTTTTTACACATAAATTTGTCTAATATAATATCTGTTATATTGTGTTACAGTGTTTGTGTCACTTCCTTTACTAGATTTTGGGTGTGTCATATTAAATGTTGCAGTAGGTGCTCAGTATTTTTAAATTAGTGACTATGTCAGATTTTTTAAACCTTTCTCCGTAGGTGCTGCAGATGATTACAATAGAATTGGATCTTCGTTATATGCTTTAGGAACTCAGGATTCTACAGATATATGCAAGTAAGGATTCTAATTAAGAACAGTAAATGTAAGAAACACAAACTTTAATCTGGATGGGCATTCTGGAATGTTCTGTCGAAATACTGATAAGGAACTTTTTTATAAGCTTGGGTTGATTTCAGTTTTTCTCCTCCCTTTATTTTATCTCAGAAATAAAAGTGGGCTTTAATATATATATTTATAATGTTTTATATGATGAAAATGGCTGATTTGTGTGTGTAAGAGAATTTATAGCAGTATTGTTAAGTGTTTGTTCTTGCAGTACTGGTGGTTAAACATGGAGTTCTGAGGGAGCACCACCACGCCCAGTTTCACTTTATAAAAATTTTTTTTTAATTTTTTTTTTTAATTATATTCTGGTACCGGGGATCGAACAGTTTTTTTTAAACAGGGTCTCAAGCTATATAATTCAGGCTGGCCTCAAACTCACAGCAGCCCTCTTGCTCCTGCCTCAGCCTCCCAAGAGCTGGGATAACAGGCTGAACTGAGTAGAACAGAATTTATTATGAAATTATTTTTTTTGTTTGGTACCGGGGATAGAACTAGGGACCTTGAGCTTATGAGGCTGGCGGTGGCACCACTGAGCTAAATCCCCAGCCCAAATTGGTTTTTGTTTCCATAGAATTTGCCCTATTCCTATTGTCTTCTGTAATTACATACTTTATAACCTCTCTTTTAATAGTTTGGTATTGGATTTCTGTATTTATTTTGATGGTACTAGAGGTTGAACCCAAGGCCTCTACCACTGAGCTACCATTCCCTTCCATGGCATTGGGATATGTTTTAATTGATACCAACATTTAATAGGCCATTTAGTTATATGTAAAAATGGGTTCTGAGGTAGGAATTGGTTCTTAATTTATTTTTCAAACCAAAGCACTTGTGTTGGAAATGTTTAAAACACAACTATGAGGGCCGGGGATTTAGCTCAGTGGTTCCGCCGCCTGCCTTGAAAGCGCAAGGTCCCAAGTTCGATCCCCGGTACCAAAAGAAAAATACAACTATCAAATAACCAACTGTTCCAACTTCAGTATTTTCCTTTCAGTCAGGTTTTGGTCTCTTTCGTTGTGATTGTTTTGTATTTCTGCAATGATTTTGAAGGTGTAGGCTTTATTACTATGAGGTATATTACTGAAGGATAACAAGGCAAATTTAAAATTTTTTTATTTTTTGGTACTGAGGATCGAACTCAGGACCTTGTGCTTGCGAGGCAGGTGGCAGCACCACTGAGCTAAATCCCTGGCCCTTAAATTTACTATTTGGCTTAGACTGTTGTCTTAAATTGGAGAGATTTTTTTGTAGCACATTTCATGTAATCTGTTACATAAGTGAAGTGCAAGGAGATTTTTGTTGAACTAAATGAAGTGCACAGTTAAGACCATTGATTTGTTTTATGTGATGGAACAAGAATGTTCAATATTTAATTAAAAAAAAGAGTGTTCAATTTGTTGTGGTGGCACATACCCAGAATTCAGGAGGCTGAGACAGGAAGATCTCGAGTTCAAGGCCAACAACCTAAGTGAGGACCCCCCCCCCCTTTTTTTTGTTTTTTTGAGACAGGGTCTCACTTTGTAGTTCAGGCTGGCTTTGAACTTGCTATATAGCCCTCGCTGGCCTCGGACTCCCAGCAGTCCTCCTGCCTCAGCCTCCTGAGTGCTTGGATTACAGGCGTGTGCCACCACACCCAGCTTTACTTTTGGGAAATCAATTTTAATCCCCCCCCCCTTGGTATTGGGGATCAAACTGAGGACCTCCTCCCTGTGAGGCAGGTGCAGTGCCACTGAGCTAAATCCCAGCCCAACACTCCATTTTTTAATTTTTGGTACTGGGGATTGAACTCGGGACCTTGTGCTTGCAAGGCGCAGGCAGTAGAACCACTGAGCTAAATCCCGGCCCTACACCCTATTTTTTAAAAAATATTAATATGGTTTGGGGATATATTCTCTAAACATTGAAGGTAAAAGTTATTTCAAATATAGCTTCTGATGAAAATATTTTTCCCTTCCAGGTTTTTCCTTAAAGTTTCAGAACTGTTTGATAAAACAAGAGTAAGTACTAAATTCTAGAGTTCTGCCACACAACATCCGACCTACACTATAGTTAACAATATTGTACACTTAAAAATCTGTTAAAAGAACAGCTCTCCTAAGTGTTCTTACCACAGTAAATGCTTTTCAGAAGGGTTACTGTTAACCTTTGAAGATCTAAATCTGCACACAGTAGTGTTTAACTTGTGGCTGTGTTTAAATTATTGAGGTAGATGAGTATACGTCACAAGAATGATGATAGATTTGGATTCCGTTGATTTTTTTTTTTTTTAAGAAATTCAGTTTTTGCTAGGACTTTTGGTATTTGTGTGGAAGTTCGGATTCCAGAAACCATTATGGAGACTGGGTTTGTTTTTAGAAAGAGTGATCCTTTCCACACACACACCCCCACCCCCGCCTTCTTCCTGAGCCTCCAAAGTGCTGAAATTACAGATGTGTGCCATCACACCTGGCTGACTGTGGCTTTTGATCCTGTGACGCACTGGTTTATGAGTAGTATCATTCTCGGCGCGCCAAAGATGAAAATGAATGATTGGGGTGCTGCAGTTAGAGTACATGGCTTGCTTGTAGGACCTGGGTTTGATCCCCAGCAGCCCTCCCACTCAAGTGGTATCCGTGCAGGGCTCATACACAGCTGTGGGAAGGTTGCACTCGTGATACCGATGATGTCTGGATCTGGGAGGCTTACTCTACATACTACAGTGTTCAGTGTATTGATCAGTTGGTAAAATAGTGGAGATACTGATTTGATGTTTAAGGGTACTTAGCCGAGTGTCCGGGTAGCCAGTGCAGTGTAAAGTCAGATTTCAGCATGGGCTTGTCACTTAAGTAATAACAGCAGAGATAGGTAAAGGAGAAAGAGGCGCTGTCACACAGGAGACAGGGAGTATTGACATTGCTGTCCAGACAGTAGTTCTTTATTCTTTTTTTTTCCCGGTAGTTCATTATTCTGCCTTTCATAATTGTATCACTGAGCACTTTCAGGGAAGAGATATAGTTGTTTTTTTCTGTGCATTTCCATCAATATAGAGATCTGTTACAAAATAGACTTATGTCAAACCTCCTGAGAAACAGATGTGAGGATAAGATTAGATGTGAGAGCTACTTACCATGAAGAATGAAAAGGAAGGAGCAGGAGTGGGATGTTTTGGACAAGGGAAAGAGGCATCCCTCAGCTCGAGTCGCCTGTGTGCTGCCTACCTCCGGCCGCACTGTTTGGCAGGTGCCCATCGTGAGAGGTGTTGGAGCGAAGCCCTGTGGGAACATCGTACTAGACCCAAAGGAGTTGCAGTTGAGGCTATGAGTCAGTTATGCCCCTTGCAGCAAGCAGTTTCTCTTAAATGGGAACTGGGTGGCGTATTTCCCTGGCCTTCCTTTATGTTTTGTTTTTCTTTTTTCTTTTGAGACAAGGTCTTGCTATGTAGTTCAGGCTGGCCTCAAACTTCAGTGATTCTCCTGCCTCAGCCTCCTGAGTGCTAGGATTACAGGAGTGTGCCACCATGCCCAGCCCTGGCCTGCCTTTAGTGTCTGTATGTTCCTAAAATTAATTAGCATACAATAGCTATTTCATATGCTAATGGATTCTGTGGGTTAAGAATTCAGAAAGGACAGAGGTGGCTTGGCCTTCTCTGTCATGGGCGGCGGCTGGGCTGGGAAAATCTGAAGGCGCCACCTGTAAGCACTTTTCCTCATGCATCTGAGGCTGATGCTGGTGTGCCCCTGACTTGTGCTAGGGCTGTGCTGGACACCGTACGTGGCCTCTCCACGCGGCTGCTCACACCTCCTCACAACACAGGCTGGCGTTTCGGAACTTGGCCGTCCCAAGTGGTGAGCATGGGAGCAGCCAGTTGAAGGCCTGGGCCAAAGTGACACGGGCACAATGTCACTTCTGCTGTGTTGGCCAAGCAGCCTGACAGAGTCCAAGGGAGGGGATGCAGACCCTTCTTTTCAGTGGAAGGAGGGGAAACATTTCAGAACCCCCATACTATCTAGCATGTTATCAGCACATCTGAATCCGTTTTGAATGTGTTAGGTTAAGAAGTTCCAGGGCTGGGCTATAGCTCAGTGGGAAAGAAGTTGCCGAGTGTAAGCAAGGCCCTGGGTTCAGTTCCCAGCATTGCCTGGGGTTGGGGCTAGGGGATCCATTAAGTTTTAATTTCTCCATAAATCAATAACTTAGGAAGCTAGTTTTTCAGATTTTTATTGAAGTGTATTAGACGTACAAGAAACCCTAAATCGTAAGTGTACAGCTAACAAAGCCTGTGTACCGAGTGGAGGTGTGCCCTGCCTTCTATGGCACTGCACTGTCCAGCTCTTGCTGTAGAGACCGATAGATAATACAGAGATGATGTTGAGACTCACAGTAAAGTGCTGGAATCAAATACAGTCTTTCCATTATTCACTGGGGTCAATTGATTTAATCTTTTTTTTTTTTTCTTTTTGTTACAGTTGCAAACAAAAGTAACAGGTCAGTTGGAAGGAAAAGGGAGGAAACCAGTAAAACAGGAATACATACTATAGTTACTTATAATTTCAGTGTTCTTGCAGTAATTATTAAGAAAAATGCTGAGAGCAGAATATGATTGCTGATTTAATACCCAGTGTTCCCCCTTTTTCAGAAAATAGAAGCACGAGTATCTGCTGATGAAGACCTCAAACTCTCTGATCTTTTAAAATATTACTTAAGAGAATCTCAAGCAGCTAAGGTAACTTCATTGCTCCTTTCTTTAGAGGCTGTTAGACTTAAGATTGTTAAAAGTGACTTATTTTTGGATGTATGTTCAAGTATTAAATTTTTTCTCCCTTTAGAAATTGTAGATCAGGGCTGGGGATTTAGCTCAGTGGTTTTGCCGCCTGCCTCACAAGCATAAGGACCTGAGTTTGATCCCCAGTTACTGCCCCCCCCCCAAAAAAAGAAAAAGAAATTGTAGATCAGGGAATTCAGACCACATGAATTTCCTGCATAAGCCAGAGGTGGTGTATAAGCATGCCTAGAATCCTAGCATTCTGGGAGGCCAAGGCAGGAGGATCGCAAGTGTGAGCCAAGCCTGGGCAACTTAACAACATGATGAGACCGTGTCCAGAAATAAAAAGGGTTGGGAATGTAGCTCAGTGTGAAGGCCCTGGGTTCAATGCCCAGTACCCTCACCTCCCCTCTCACAAAAGTTACCTGACTGAACAAGAGTGAGAAAGAGAACCAAAAATGGTTACCTGTACAAACTTCTGGTACAGTATGATCTAGAGTAAGGCAAATCTACAGAGAAGGAACACATTAATGGTTGTGTACAGGAGGATGCGTTGGAAGTGGGGTGACTGCTCCCGGGCCTGGGGTTTCTTCCTGAATGGTGCACGTATTCTGAAGTTGGTTGGCGGTGATGGTTGTGCAACTCTGAGCATACTGAAAATCACTGAATTGTATGTTTTAAATGGATGTGAATTATATCTCTGGTGGGGGGGGGTATTGTTTTGTATTTGTTGTTTTGTGGTACTAGGATTGAACTCAGGATCTTCACCCTGAACTGCAACCTCAGCCCTTTTAAAATTTTTTTTATATTAAAACAGGATTTTCAGTTGTCAGCGAGGCTTGAACTTGTGATTCCTCCTTCCTCAGCCTCCCAGAGTGGTGGATTAAAGACATGTGCCACCACACCCAGCAATAAAGCTGCTATTAAGCTAAGCATGGTGGGAGACACTTATAATCTCAGGACTCAGGAGACTGAGGCAGGAAGATTGCCGTGAGCTCGAGGCCGGCCTGAACTACCTAGTGAGGCCCTGTCCCACTACAAAATAAAAGAACACTTAGGGTGGGGAATTGGGGTTCAATCAGCAAAACCAAGCAAGTGGAAATAAAATCTTAAAGGCTAGTGGTGTGTGGTGCTCACTCAGTGTGTGAGTGTCTCCTCCAGTAGTGTGGGGTGAGTGACGTGTGGAACATTCTGTCTACAGGATCTCCTCTACCGAAGATCTCGGTCACTAGTAGATTATGAAAATGCTAATAAAGCGCTGGATAAAGCAAGGGCAAAGAATAAAGATGTTCTGCAGGCTGAAACTTCCCAACAACTATGTTGTCAGAAGTTTGAAAAAATATCTGAATCTGCAAAACAAGGTATCATTACATTAACCTTCAGTCACAAGGTTGTCTTATGGTGGTTCTGTAAATTTGTTAATTCTATTTTCTTGTTCACAGAACTTATAGATTTTAAGACAAGAAGAGTTGCTGCATTCAGAAAAAATTTAGTGGAACTTGCAGAATTAGAACTGAAACATGCAAAGGTAGTGTATTAAAGATTTAATAATTTAAGACAGGTGTGGTGATGCACACTTGTGATCCCAGCTGCCCAAGAGGCTGAGGCAGGGGGATCACAAGGTCTGATCCTGTCACAAAATACAACTTTTTTCTTTCCCTTTTTTTGGGGGGGGGCGGGTAACCAGGGATGGAACTCGAGCTTGTGCTTATGAGGCAGGCGCAGTGCCACTGAGCTAGATTCCTCCTGCCTGCCTGCCCCTTTTTGATACAGGGTTTCACTATGCAGCCCAGGCTGGCCTTGAACTCAACTATGCCGCCCAGGCTGGCCTCAACTTGCAGTGATCCTCTTGACTCAGCCTCCTGAGTGCTGGAATTACAGGTGTGTGCCACCACGCCTGGCTTGCAAAGTAAAATTTTTTTAAAGGCTAGGAATGTATAGCTCAGTGCTACATATCTCTAGCCTGCCCTTCTTTCCCCTTTCCTATCCTTCCCTTTTTCCTTCTTTGGAGGAGGTGGGGGCCTTTTTTTTTTTTTTTTAAGACAGGGACTACTAGGATTACAAGGGTGGACCACCACATTCAGCTTCCTTTTTCCTTCCCCACTTCTTCTCTGGCTTGCTTCCCTTCCCCTCCCCTCCCCCTTTTCTTCCTTCCTTTCCTCAAACTTGAAATCCTCCTGCCTCAGCCTCCCAAGTACTGGGATTACAGGCATACACCTCCATGCCAGGTTTGGCTTGATTTACTCTTTTTTTTTTGTGTGGTACCAGGGATCAAACTTAGGACCTTGCACTTGCAGGGCAGATGGTGGAACCACTGAGCTAAATCCCCGGCCCCTGATTTACTCTTAACAGAGCTGGTTTCTGATTTTCACTGTTCCTTTTAAGGGGGTCATACGCTATACTGACAGGGTTGTATTGCTGTAGATCAAGGTTTGGCAAAGTACAGCCCATCCGGTTTTGTACAGCCTGTGATCTAGGAGTGCTGTTCTCGTTTTTAAATGGTTAAGAAGCATATGAAAAACAGCAATAATTATATGAAATGCAAGTGTAAGTTCATAAAGGTTTTATTGGGACACAGCCAAGTGCACTCAGCTCTGCTTCTCTGTGGCTCCATTCACACTGCCTCAGCCAAGTGGAGGTGCTGACAGGGACTGTATGTCTCCGAGTCTGCAATATTGACTGTGTAGTCTCTCTCAGAAAAGTTTGCTGGCTCCTGCTCCTGGCTTCCACATTCTGTGTCCAAGTCCTTTCTGAAATGTGTTCTCTGTATTTGAATTTCTGATGGCGGTTCTCACTCCCCTGGTTCTCACCTGGGGGTGACTGTCCCGCAGCAGAGGTATTGGCGGTGGGCGTGGCAGGGTGGCCAGGGCTTTCCTCTCTGCTGGAGTGAGCTGCCAGGGCTTCTGCCCACACCCTCAGTGTGTGGCCAGGCATGGGTTCACACTGACAAGTGTCCTAGTTTGGGGTAGCAGGGGCTGAGATTGTGCAGTGATTTTGTTAATCTTGGCAGTCCTGTTTTTTAAAATTGAGACAATATTTGTACATAGTTGGAGGGTACATTATAGTCATTCAGTATAGGTGTGATAATCAGATCAAGGTATTGAATGTTTCATCTCTAACCACTCACTAATCTTTTTTTTTGGTACTGGGGTTGAACTCAGGACCTTGTGCTTGCCAAGCAGATGTGGCACCACTGAGCCACGTCCCCAGCTAACCACTAATCATTTTTATGTGTTGGGAGTTTTGAACTCTTGTCACTTTGAAGCACATACAGATTATTTTACAGAGTAGTTATTCTGCTGTAGTAGAGGAGCCAGAAGTGCATAGTCATTCTGTGTTACTGCCTGTAATGAACTTCAGCTGTCTCCCTTCCCGGGCCCTGTTCCAGAAAGCCTAGATAATACTAAAATTTATGGTAAAATAGTCTGAAACTACTTTGGATTTCATTTATTATGTCTTGCAACATAATTGCCATCTGGTTGTTAATGGTAAACTAGGTCACTTGTATCCTTAAAAGTAGACCCAGTCTTTATCAGTAAAGAATAAAATGTAAGAGTAAGAAAAGAAAATGTGACGAAACTGATCAGGGAGGGTGGGATGTGCCTTCTTTCTTGCCCATTTTTGTTTGTTTGTTTGTTTTTTGGTACCGGGGATCGAACTCAGATCCTTGCGCTTGCAAGGCAGGCAGCGGAACCACTGAGTTAAATCCCCGGCCCTCTCACCCCATTTTTAAGTGTAGGATATTGCACACTTTTTTGGTGGGCATTTGAGGAGTGTGTCACAACGTGGAAAGTAATGGTAATTCCAGCACTCTGGGAAGCTGAGGCAGGAAGATCATACATTCAAGCCCAGCATGGGCAATTTAGGAAGACTGTGTCTCAAAATCGAAAATTTTAAAAGAGCTGGGGATGTGTAGCTCAGTGAAAATGCTGTGAGTTCAATCCTGAGTATTGCCAAAAAATAAACAAGAATAATTAAACTTGGCCCAAAAGGGAGTATTTGCCTTCATTAGAATGTGTCAGGGCTGAGGATTTAGCTCAGTGGTGCCGCCGTCTGCTTCGAAAGCACAAGGTCCTGAGTTCGATCCCTGGTACCAAAAAAAAAGAAATGTGTCGTTAATCCAGACAGTTAATATTGATTAATATCAATAAATTTATTTACTAAAGAATGACTGTTTCCAAAATTCTGACATCTTGACAAACTTAAATTGACATGATTGCTAATACTGTATATTTTCAGTAAGGTTCTTTAAAGCCGTTCATAATTCTCCTTCCTTTTCAGGGTAACCTCCAGTTGCTGCAGAACTGCCTGGCAGTGTTGAATGGAGACACATAAGCCACTTTCAGTACCTGATAAAAAGGGCTGCCTTCCTTCAGATATTTTTTTTTGTTTTTCTAATGACATTAAGCATTTCTGCTCACCGGAAGTAAAGCTGACGAAGTGCATCTCCTCCCCACCCCCCCCCAGAAGCAGCCGACAGCGCTTCGCACAGGCAGCACCAGTCTGTGACATCCCTCGAGCTGCATCCCTGGACAGCGTCCGTCACCTGCACCCATCCAACTTGGAAGCCCAGAGTCCAGTCTTTTTTTTTTTTTTCTTTTTGGTACCGGGGATTGAACTCTGGTCCTTGCGCTTGCGCAGCAGGCTGTGAAACCACTGAGCTAAATCCCTGGCCCTAGTCTTTTTTTAAGTAGCCTTGATAACTGGGTTTATTTTATAAATAGTATTCTTTATGGCTGCCAATCTTACTTACCTTTAAATAATTTCTGAAGTTTAACCTTTTCAAAATACATTGTTCCAACAAGGTAAAGATGGCCCTTTCTTGATTTTGTAATTTTATTTTTAAAAAGTATTGTACTGTATACTCTTCATTCATGTATCTTTGTAAAGCATCTTAATCAGACTTACTTTTAATTAGCATGAAAGTTTTGGGCCAGACTTTATGTAATCTTTCTAAGTATGATTTCTGAAGAAAAGCAAATGCATTAGTATGTTTGCCTTAAACTTGTAGACTAAACCAATTATTGTAAAGTAACCAGAGATAACAGTGATAGTTTTAAACTCTGAGGTCATGTATCACTCTAAAATTTGGAGTAGCTGTAATAAATCTACTCCGTTGTTATGCTTTACAGTGCAGGTCTTAAGTTTCTCTTTTTCTCCCCTTGTTTCTTTTAAAATGATACATTGAGTGCTCGCTTCTGCAGCACATATACTAAAATGATACATTGAGCTGGCCGTGGTGGCGAACGCCTATAATCCCAGCACTCCGGAAGCTGAGGCAGGAGTATCGCTGGGAGTTTGAGGCCAGCCTGGGCTACATAGCAAGACCTTGTCTCCAGGAAAAAAAAAAAATACTGAACCAGTTCAGCAATCCCTTTAGAAAAGAATGGACTGTTCTGCCCATAGAAAGTGGGAATGGGCAGAGGCAGTTAACAGCTATTTCTGAAATACTGGAGCAGTCTCTTACAGTTTATAATCTCCTGGCCTCTGTTCCTAGCTAGCCAAGTAACCATGAGACACACCATTGAGCCTCTGGGTAGCTCTGATGCCACTGTATTGAGAGAGATCTGCTACCAGGAAGAGCTCTCGTCTGTGGGGAAAAGTAGAATATTTGAGATAAAAGCTGCTGTGCAAGTAGGATACTGCTGACAGGTTGCCAGTAGTTTTATTGCAGATATTATTGGCCTTTCTAATGTGAATGCACATTATTGTCATTTCCAGTTCAAAGTTAGACTGAGTGGTTGGAGTTTTCCACCACCTTTTTAACTTTTCTCCTGTTTGGAAACCGCAGGCATTTGGGTTGGTGACCCCTGAACTGGTTTCTAGTTTACATTTTCCCAGACTGTCCTGAAGATTGCCTGGTCTGTCTTCCCGCCGTCCGTGACTCCCCCTTTCTCAGCATGTTCTCTCGCTCACACGTGCTGGTTAATGTCTCATGACGCGCCCTTCCCATGCTGTTGAGAGGTCCATGTTGTGTCCTTCCTGTCGCCCGATCTGAAGATTTGCTGAGCTGTCTGCCTGTGTGCGCGCCTGACCGAGCCCCGCGTCTGCTCAGGTCCCGCCCTTCCCGCTGCCCTGCGCCTCCAGCAGGTCTGGGCAGGTTTGCTTGACTTTTGCCTCAGTTTTCTCCCCTAAAAGACCTTGACCTACCTCACAGGGGTGTTGTGAGGATTAATAAACGTTGGTACTGTGCTTTGGAAACATGCAGGTGACGTATAAATGTGCTTTGAAATTGCACGCGCTGTGTTCCACAGCTCTGGCTGCTCTGCTCCCTGGGTGGTCTGGGGTGAGGCAGAGCGGCATCCCTGACGCAGGAGACAGTGGCAGAGCTGGGTGGGGAAAGGAGAACGACCTGTCAATCACAAGACCTCCTGGACAGCGCCAGATAATTCCCAGGACCCGGTATGTGGAAATTCTTGCAGGCTCCCAGGAGATGTGAATGGCGTAAAAGATGCCATAGGGAGCCCGCTCACCTGACTTCCCGATAGCCCGCCCTGCATTTCCCAGATGCACTGTGTACTTTTATTTTTGCTTTTATATTTTTCTCTTCTTCTGCCCAAGTTTGCCCTGCAGAGCTGGTTTCTCACATGCCCATTCAGCCCACAGTTTCAATTAAACTTTTGGCACTGGTTTTGGCATGTCTCATCCAATTCTTTGTTCAAGGCGAGAAGGACCCGGAATACTCTTGATTGGCGAGCCATTTCTAAAGATACTACCTGATAACACTTGGGCCCTGGTTCTGGTTCTTAGCTCTCGTGGGGATGGGGGACCGGAAGCAGCGTGCATAGAGCGGTGAGGTCACTCAATACACATACCTTGCTGACTGACAGTCACTGCAGCCTTCCCGCTACCAAGTCCACAAGGTAGAGTGTTCGCGGTGTGATCCAGCAATATGGTCAACATTTAAATACACTGAGTACAGTAAAAGACATTGCTATTAATCCTCAGAATACTCCCCCTTCGAACACAATTCATCTTTCTGAAGCAGTTCTGGAGGGTTCTTTGTGACTAGCTGCACTGTTGTGGCTACCTCGATGTCCTGAATGGACTGAACATGTTTACCTTTTTCACGGTTACTTTTTCCTTTGGGGAGAAGCCAGAAACCACACGGGGCCAGATCCAATGAATAAGGTGGATGAGGACATAATGTAATCTTTTACAAGCCCGCCTTTCCTCTGTACTTGGCAGCAGCGTTCACTGGGTTTTTGATCATAAAAAGACATGAAAGGACTTTCAGAACTGCTTCAGGGCCAGGGATGTAGCTCAGTACCACGGTGCCTGCCTGGCAAGAGCAAAGTCCTGAGTGTGATCCCCGGTACTGCGGTACCACAAAAACAAAACAGTAATTTTTAAAAAATGTAAACATTCACTGTATATTTTGATCACTCCTCTATACTATTCACCCGGGCATACTAAGGAATGGTTCTTTGTGTCTCTAGAAAGGAAACATTTTTTTCCCACTACCTCACTGCTAGTTTTGATAAAAATAGCCAGTGCCCCATGCATGGATGTACCCCCAGCACTCGAGGCTGTGGCAGGAGGATCACCATAAAACCAAGCCAAACCAAACAAACCCTGGACTCAGTTGAGATACTCATTAAACATTATTGATCATCTCATAATGGAAAGGCACAAAGGCAAAACACAATTGTAGAGGAAAAGTGCTGTGTGCACAATTACTATGGGCATTTAGTATCTAGGATTCATCCTCTGAGGGATAGGAGGAACGTAACCAGTCCAGGCAGTGGGTGAAAAGGCTGGGGAGTTTAGGAGAGGTTTATGCGGGGCAGACAGAGGAGTCTGGGGCTGGAATTGCAGTGTTCAGCCAGGAAGGGTGGGTGAGATGTCTGTGCGTGGTCTGTAAACTTACACAGTTGTCTCAGGTCTTATAATAAAAATACAGCCAGGGATTTAGCTCAGTGGTTCTGCCACCTGCCCCGAAAGTGCAAGGTCCAGAGTTTGATCCCCAGAACAACAACAACAACAACAACAACAAAAACCCAATAAAAATACAAAATTTGAAGGGCCAGGAGTTAGCTCAGTGGCACTGTGCCTGCCTTACAAACACAAGGTCCTGAGTTCCACCTCCGGTACCAAAAAAAAGAAAAAGAAAAAAAAGCAACAAAATACAGATTTTAGCTTAAACTGATGCGTGACATAATGCAAAAAATGATGAGTTGGTTTAAAAAGAAACCGCTAGGGCTGGGGATTTACCTCAGTGGTGCTGCACTTGCCTCCCAAGCGCAGGATCCTGAGTTCGTTCCTTGATTAAAAAAAAAAACCCCTGCTAGCTGGACATGGCAGCACACTCCTGTAATCCCAGCACTCAGGAGGCTGAGGTAAGCGGATCGCTGTGGGTTTGAGACCAGCGTGGGCTACATAGTGAGACCTTGTCTAAAGCAACAAAAAAGGAAACTGCTGTGAGAGAACAGGAAAGGTTTAATAGAAAGTCCTGTGTCCTGCCTGAATCCCACGTATGTGGTGCCCGAGCAGGCAGAAATCAGGTGTCCCCCAGTCCATCCTCTGGCTTGCAGTGTAAAAACAGATGGAATGAGGATTCTGTATTACAGTATAACTGACTTGGATAACTAAATTACATAAGCTGCTTGCAAACCAGGACCCAGAGCCCTGCGTGGGACGTTTTGGGGGGCACTGCCAGCCGTTAATTCAGAGGCCCTGCAGGGCCGCCACTCTGCTCCAGCTGCTGGGTGTAAACTCCCTGGCACAGCTCCAGGCCTGGCTCACTTCAGGTAGAAAAAGACAGAAAAAAAGAGGACTCTCGGAAGAGGCATGGGTTATTCCTTGGGAATTGTGTCCTCCCCAGGACTTGTGTCCAGTTGGTCAGAGACACCCTGTGGCCAGGAAAGAACTGAGTGGGGCACGTTAACACTCGGAGCAAAAGCACTTCCAGAAAAAGGGACAGTCACTAGGTCTGAAACTCGCCCATCGGCAAGTTGGAGCCCAGCCTGGCCGAGCAGTGAGACCAGGTTTCAACCAGAGGGGTGGTGCTGGGCTGTGAGGGTAGAGCTCAGGAAGAAGAGAAAAGAAAAAACTAGGAGTCCACCAGAGACCGCCTCGCAGTAGATGCCGGGAAAAGTTAAGCGTGAAGAGTATACAGGACCACGGCTCGTGAGTAGTTGCCCTATCTCTGCGTGGCCCTGTGCGGCTCAGCGGGGCCGAGGCTCGCACATAACCAGCGGAGGGACGCTCTGGTCAGGAAGGCGGGCCGAATCATCGGAGTCTGTGGCTTCTGCGTGGCCGGGACGGGCGCCTCGGCCCAGCCGCCGGTAAACAGCGGCTGACCGAGGAGCAACCACCTCGCGCGAAAGCCGCACCTGACCACGAGCGGCCCAGCCTCGAAGCAAACTCGCCGGCTGCGCCAGAACCAAACGGCGCACGCCGCTTCTCTCGCCTAGCTGAAAACCTCGCGAGAGCTGCAGAAAAC